ATTTAAATTGAGTTTTTGAAAGCCAAAATATTCCCAAATGTTGTTACTTCTGGGAATAATGATATTTCTTCCAATTTTAGCGATTTTTTGAAAACTCAATTTAAATACGAGTGTTGTTCCTAACATCTATTAATATTATATAGTACTTTTAAAATTTTCAAGGAGATAAAAGCTGATTCCAACATTTTAGCGGTTTAGTCAGTGTAGCCAAATCCTTAATCTTTAAAATAAAATTTGAATCAAAGCTGTATCTATCATATTTTGTGAGCTAGGTGAGTTAATGTGAAAGTTGATTTACTATCCTAGTCCAAACATGGTATGTTACAACTGGCCAGTGGCGAAGCTACAGGAGTGGTTTTCGGGTTTGGACCCCTCCCAGAGCAAAAATATTTTTTAGATTTTACGTTCAAAAGGCTTAAAAGTGATTTTATATCTATTATATTTTTCTGGTTTTGATGTTTGTGGAAGGATATTATATTACTATTGAAATTATTCTGGATAGTATTATTATAAAGTCATTGAGAATAATCTACTAAATTATAATAACTAGTGTTGTTAAACGGCTAAGCCGAGTCGACTTAGCTACGACTCGAGCCTAGTTTCTAGTCGATAAATCAGCTCAGACTCGAGTCGACTAAATGAGCCTCATTAGTCGGCTCATTTAGTCGGCTCGCTTAGTTAGCTCACTTAGTCGGCTCGCTTAGTCGGCACATTTAGTCGGCTCGCTTAGTCGGCTCACTTAGTCGACTCAGAGGTTAGCTTGAGTTTAATTTAAATTTAGAGCCAAAATTTATTTTTATGTTATTGAGATATTTTAAATAATAATGTAGAATTTTATTTATTTATTTTTAGTGAAATAATTTATTTTATTTATATTTAATGTTTATATTTTATTATTATCAAACAAAAAATTTTTTTTAATTTTATTTCAAATATGTTTTGATCGATCTTATAATAAAAATGGATTTATTTATTTTATTTTTTTTAAATAAAAAAAAATTCATATTTTCGAGCTAAAAATTTTAAGCAAAAAATAATTTTTGAAATACAAAAATATTTTTGAAACATATTTTGTTGATTTTTTTATAAATTTTTAAATCTTTTTTAAGAAATACTTTTGTTAATTTTATCATAAATAAATAATCTTTTAGGTCAAATCTTCTATAGTTTTTTTTATATTATTTTTATAAATATATCTATATTTTAAGTTTATTATTAGAGGTGGTTTTTTCTAAATATTTTTTTAATAAATATATTTATATTTTAAGAATATTAAAAGAGGTGGTTTTTCTTTTTCTAAATAATTTTTTTTTAAAATATATCTATATTTTAAGTATATTAAAAGAGGTGGTTTTTCTAAATTATTTTTTTATTAATATTTATATCAAACTTTTTTTTAATGCGACAATTGTCATATGCGTTATTTTTTAAGATTTTTGAAATTTTTGGACACAAAAGGGTTACAATATAATTTATATTGTAAAGATATTATATTATAAATTCAATGAAGATGTTCCCTGGAAAAATGATAATTATCATAATAGGTAGGTATATTTTTGAACATATAAGATTTTTTTGTGACGCTAATGGGCAAAAATATGTTTCTTTAACAGGTAAAATTTAATGTAGATGTACCCTAGATAAATGACAATTGTCATAATAGTTATTTTTATTTTAAATTTTTTTGACGTAAATAGGCTAAAATAAGTACTGCTAACATGTCTAAATAAAACTTCAGTGAAGATGTACCCTAGAAAAGTAACAATTGTCATAATCGTTGTTTTTAAAGTTTTTCGAATTTTTTTGACGTAAATGGGTTAAAATAAGCATTGCTAACATGTTTAAATAAAATTTTAGTGAAGATGTACCACAGATAAATGACAATTGTCATAATCGATTATTGATGCATTTAAAAAATATATTTATTATATATTATCGAAGATATGGTTATGATTTGTAAGTTAAACACGGCCGAAGGCCGGGCAAAAGGCCGAAAACCCGTTAAAGGGGGTCTGGGGGGTGAAGCCCCCCCCCCCAGCTTTTATATGTATGGACGCTCTCTAAGGAAAATTTTTAGCTACGCCACTGCAACTGGCCAAAGATATTATTCAAGAATTATATTATAAATTAAAATTACATTGAATAATTAATATTAACATTACATCTTACATCAGACTCATCTATTTAATGAAAATATTTTATAAATTATTATCTGGATATTAAATATGTTTAAAATTAATCACTATCTATTTATAAATTTTATCAAAACATGCTAAAAAAAATTATTATTACAATCCTTTCACATTTAAATCAATTTTTGAGAGAAATTGGTTCAATATATAAAATGTTAAAGGGTGGTGGCCATCCACTTCTCCCCTACATAATTTTTATTCTAACTATTACTATTATAATTTTAGACTGATCCTAACCAGATCAAAAAAGCCACTTATTTATAGATGAAATAATACTATTGAAAATGTTTTAGACGCATTTTTTAAATCTAAAAAATATCAAATGAATATTTTTGATGACTTTTCTTATATAAAAAATATTTATATTTAATTTAATACTGAATGCGTGCTTATGTTGATAGATTATTTAGCCATAGCTAAGACCTTGTGATCGTTGCTCTAGACTTGGGTGATGTAATAAAAAATAAATAATATATAATTGGAACTTTAGTCATATTTTTTATTTGTGGAAATAGAAACACGTAAAAAACATTTTAAAAAAAATTCTAAAGTAGCGTTTAACAACACTGGACATTACCCAGTCCATAAGTCCGGCATTAGATCTTTAATATTTATCGAGATCCGTTTGGATCTACTAAACACTGGGTGTGCCATGCCCCAATATACTATTTAAGGTTAATAAGATATTTATAAATTTAAAAAGTTATCAAAAAATGATAACCATAATAAATTCAAACTTAGTTATTTTATGTTACTAATTAAAAATGTTTTTAAGTTCTAGAATAACTCATCATTTTAAATAAGAGGTTTCCGAAAACTTTCTCAAATTTTAACCATGCGATTAAAAGTTTTTTTCAATTTTGCTTATCTTTTAATTAACATTGCATATTTTTCGGGCATTTTAATACTTAGTTAAAAAAATGAAATAACGTTAAAAATATTAATATTATTTTTACTACGATAAAAAAATTAATATTAGGGGAGATCGGGGATAGTATTATCTCAAGGCAGGTAATATCTTAGATAATTTGAAATGAATAAACTTTGAAATTTAAGCCAAATATGTATTTTAATAGGGTGCTTACGTATTTAAAAATGTTTCAAACAAAATTTCTCATGAGAAATTTTAAATTAATAAATTTTTTATAAAGGTTACTCAGATTAAATATCAATTCTAAATGATTAAATAAATTCAATTTTATAATGTATGAAAATATTGGCAATATTTATCGTAATTTAATATCTTCAAATTAAATTTTAATTAATGTTGAAGACCTGGAGCAGGTTATGGCGGGGTACGTATTACTCATTTTTAAACAGGGATTATTTAGAATAAAAAAAATTCAAATTTATTAGAACATTCGAAGACAAGTTTGTCTAGAGCTATGAATGACAATATGAAAGTGATTGACTTATTTTTTTGTAAATTATATATCAGTTTTATATAAGTTGATTTGGGTGATATATATAATATGATGAACCTGGTAGATTTAACATATTTGAAAATTTATTTACATCCATTTACTTAAACATTTTTATATAAAAAAGGTCTAAAAATTGCGATATGACATGCAACGCGAAAGGATAAGTGGCACCCCGGGTGCTTTTCACAATTCTTTTATTTCTACCGAAGAGATATATGTAAAGAATAAAACTATGTTTAAACATTTTGGAAAATGTGCTTTAGCTATTATGGACAATACAACCCCGGTCTCCCCCACAACATTAAAAAAAATATATGCGAGAAGCAACGTACGGAATATATTTTTGGTGTATAATTTTTGTAACGTTAAAAAATATAATAATTGGGAAACCAAATATAAAATTGCTTATTTTTAAAAAGAGAAAATTTTGCGAAGCGAACTAATTGTTTTATTTTATTTTTAAAAATAAGCGATGTGGAAGCAAATAAAATGCTTATTTTTTTAATAAATAAAATTATTATATTATCTCTTCCTTTTTAAAATAAAAAAGAATTAATTAATTTAAAATAACATATAGCTCAAGAAATGTTGTGTAAAAAAATTGATTACCGAAAAAGGAAGATTAAAACCAATTTTACAAAACTATTCGTAATTTTTCTATCAAAAAATATGAAAAATATGAGTGGCTGTGGCTCACTTGATGTGAATTTTTTAATTCTCTATATTGTTGGTCATGATTATTCTCAAAGGAAAAATTAATTTGAAATGATAAAAGATTTTCGGATATAAATAATTTTCTCAAGGTAGTTTAAGGGCATGAAGAATTATTCACATATTTGCACTCAATAATTCAATTAAAATTATTTGGCAAAAATTGAATTGAAAATAAAATAATTCGATGCGTAAAATATTAATCGAAATTTTACTCAGAAACAACGACGAATTCCCCTTAATTAAAAATCTTAATTTTTTGTTTTTGTATGGTTTGACTAATAAAAATGTTTTTCAATTGCTTCCCTAGTATTAAACTTGACGCTTGATCACTGATATTACCTAATTGAAAATCTTCAAAAATTATTAATATTATTTTCATCACACCTTCAAAGGGACTTACGCTGCAACTAAGATAGTTTACAAAAACGTAAATTATCGCGTAAGTCTAGTGAAACCAATAATTTTTTTTAAAAAACAGTTTTTTATAGTGATTGTTAATTTAGTGTATAATTTTGGGTTTACTTTATAAACATTAAATCCTATAATTTGTAATTGGATGATTATGTTCAAATATATTATAAACACAATAAATAAATATCAGAAATTATTCAAACAATATTCTATTTTAAAATTAAAATGGTATTATGATTAAAAAGCCTTCAAATGATAAATAAATGAATAATATAACAATTATCAATTATAAATTAATATAAAAAATTGATTATCACAATTGTCAATTACAAATTAATATAAAAAATTGACTACCATAATTGTCATAAATTAATATAAAAAATTGATTATCATAATTGTCAATTATAAATTAATATAAAAAATTGACAACACAAATTATTGGTATATCTAATAAACAATGTTGCAAAAATATTTATGCTTAGTTACAAGTATGAAAGAGTTTTAGTTAGATTTTGAGCCAATTTTTCTATAAATGCAGTTGTTTCCATGTAATCGCTAGGCTTTACCCTTTATGTCAAAATAAAGAAAATATTAATATATGCAACCAAAATCAAAATACCGTTTGTGGGAAAATTAAAAGCAAATGATTATCGTGAATATCTAAGTTTATGCTTACAATATTATAGGCAAGATGCACGATAATTGGAATTTTTCTATATATCAAACTAAGTAAATTTAATTATCAAGCTACAAACTTTTTATCAATAATATATTTGAGAAAGTTAGAATGTATTGAAATATACATAAATATAGATATCAATTCTCTAACTAAAAATTCTTAAATTCACTTTGATTTATATATAGAGAATTTCTTCCCCTCATATTAAATAATATTTTTTGAATGGTGGAGATGCACCGGATATTGGATCCAGAACGGGACAGGCACCCGATCTTAAATATTGCGCAGTTTAATGCATAGAATATGAACCAGTTCCCATACCTTTTTATCTAAACTCCATTCTCTCAAAATATTTATTCTCTGAATTTGTGGTGATAGATATCAGCAATGATTAAGGGTTTCGGTAATATTTTATTTCATATGGCGAAAGATTTATAATTAAATAATACTTCGTTCTATTTTATATCTCAATCGAATCACGGAAGAAATTAAGGCTGTGCCGATCCACAAATTTTTCACCGACGATATTGCTAAAAACCCATCTGATATTTCTATAGAGTTTTTATTAACCATCTATTTTTAAACAAATGTCATAAAAATATCAATATTTTCTATTATACCAACCAACTTTCACGAATGATTAAGTGTATTTTTTTATTCTCCAAAAGTTAATAATCTCATAAATATTTGCTTTGTTTATGGACGAATGTGTAGTGTTTTTAAACAGCTCCATTTAGCAGATTTATAAAAAGTGCTAAATCAAGATTTTGGCTAAATAATTATTACCTAAGCCTCGAACGCTAATAAAAATCCAAACCTTTAGCTTAAGTAATTTACTTTTGGCCATAATCTTGAGTTAATCATTTTTAAAAATTGCTAAATGGAGCTAACTAGCTGAATGCGACTCATTAGATATTTTAAAATGTTGCAGATAATATAACAAAAAATAGTGTAAAATTTTTAACTATTAAACATTACAACAAATAAATTGTATTTTAGTTCCTCTCATTAATTTATTAATGAAATTATTTACAAAATAAAAAAATTATACTTATATATATAAACATAATAATAAAAAACAATAGAAAATATCGGATCGGTTTAAAAATATTGGCCTGACCTGATATTTAATATCGGCACAGCCCTACTAATAATTATTTAAAAAATTACCAAAAAACCCTACTCCTTCCTCAGAAAAAAATTAAAGGTTTTTTCTGTATTTTTGCTTATCATCTGAAACAATGGTAAATAAAGGATAAATCTTTTAAATTTTTGTATAGAGGTAGGATAAAATCAAAATATTAATATTTGAACAACAACAAAAATTGGTAAGGTTCATAAAAATAATATCGGATCTGTTTTATAAATCCGTTAGCACCGCTTTGCATACAAACTTATTAGGTAGAGAAAGTTATTATTAGAATCCTTTAAGCATTTCATTATAATTGTACATACATATATACCTAATTTATAAATAACAACCAACCAGTATTTATTTGCTATAACTAACTATTTTTCTAAAAAATACTTTGAACCATATAATTACAAGATTCTCTTCTGTCAAATTATTTCTGTAAGGACAAAAAATAAATATTATGGTTGAGAATATTTATATGTACTAACTTAAGTGATTGTCACTATCAGGTAATATAAGAAAAATTTAAAAAAACATCATGTCAAAAGTATCTATTTATAAGTTTGACTCAAATTCGGGTGACAAAGTTTTTAATTCAGGTTCGGGTAAACAATAACGTTTAGTACCGGTTTAAGGGTTTAGTTATTGAATTCCTTCAAAGGGGTACAAACCAAGGTCGCCAGATCTCCATAAAACCTCAAGAATTTTTTACTCTTGTTTACGCCAAAATAATCTGTCTATTAATTTAGGCTTTCTCCCGATTTTTTATAAAATTTTAAAATTAGTGTAACTAGAAACTTATGCTATCATTTTTCATTTTAATTTAAACATATATTTAAAAAGGCAACTTGTTCATAATTATTTTATTCTCCTTATCATTTTTTTGCAAAGGAACAAAATATTTATTATATTATAATTTAAAAATTAACATTATCTTACATCACTTCTCCTAAATGATTCTTATGTGAAATAAATATCATATATATATTTTTTACAATCTAATCTATATAAAATGATATCAAAATTTTAAAGCAGTTCGGCAGTTTTTAATATTATTTAAAAAATTTATGGTTATATACAGTTAATGATTTCTGATTAGGTAAATAAAATTTTAAACAAGTTTAATATTTCTCTTATTCTATTAATTTAAATTATATAAAAATAAATTACAGATATTTAAAAAAAAGTACATCAAATAACTTTAGAAGCAATATCGAAATACCTAGAATTCCACTTTTAAACGCAATATCTAATTACCTAGAATTCCCTTATTCATGAATAAGAAAGATAAACAAAACAAAATAGTTTAAATGCAGTTTGTATGATATACAATATAAAATTTAATATCACCAAGGAGGATCCATGATGTCAAAAATATATATCCAATTCAAAAAATAAGGATTATAATATTCTGTAAGTTCAATATCTGAGCGTAATTTACCTATCACACGATAATTTCTTAGTTTGCATTGCAAACATATTGTTAATGCTCTTTCCTGAATCAAAAATAGCCTAAAACCTAAAGAATAAATCCTCAAAAATAGGTTTAAATATCGTAAGTCTTGCGTCTAAGAAAAGTATAGAAGATTTGAAATATTATTTCTCTATTAATAGTTGCCTCGAATAATGTAAATACCAAAATATTCCCAATAATACTAAACTATTTTAATAAGAGAAGTTTCAAGTAGAGATCTCCCGGCCTGGCCCAAACGCGCTTCGGGCTGGACCTATTTTAAAAAAAATCGGTATTGGGCTGGTGGGTGGACCTAATATTTTTAAAAACAATTCGAGTCGGGTCGGGCTTTGGAAATTTTTTTAACATCTATAAATTTTATGTTGAATTTTTTAAGTAAAATAAAAATATATACCATTTATTTTGGGTATAATAATTTTAAAAAAATCGGTATTGGGCTGGTGGGTGGACCTAATATTTTTAAAAACCATTCGAGTCGGGTCGGGCCTTGGAAATTTTATTAACATCTATAAATTTTATGTTGAATTTTTTAAGTAAAATAAAAATATATACCATTTATTTTGGGTATAATAATTTTAAAAAAATTTAAAGTATAATCTAAAAAACATTATTTCTATATTTAAATATATTGGGTCGGAACGGCAAAACTTGTTTAAAAAAATTTTGGGGTAGGGCTTAAAAATTAGGCCCAATGCAGATCAGTAGTTTCAAGTAAACTTCTAAAAATATTTTATCGGAACTTGGAGGAATCGAAGGATATTGAATATATGCTTGTATAGAACTTTGATTTTAAAACAAAAATTAACAATTTAATTAATAGTATAAAATCTTCTTAGAAAATATAAATATAATTTATTTTATGTACTGATTTTTGTACAATATTATTTAATAAAATAATTTTTGGACTAATGATTAAATTCTCCCGCTTTTAGTTTGAAAAATTTTAACCCTTGTACAAACTCGTAGAAGGGAATTATTTAAACAATTTTTCTTGAAATAAAAAAAACTATACCCTCATTTTGCTGAAGATTATATTCATATCTAATGCATTAAAAAGGTAAATATCTTTTAATCTTGTTGATACTTATAATGGGATTACATTTGCATCGGCATCTAAGTTAATTATAATATTAACGAAAATTCTATCTCAATAGAAATCAATAAGAGAAAAATATTCCTTAATATTGCATTTTCATGGTATCTAAATTGTGCAACTTGAGTTATAGCACTATTCTTACCTAAAAAAATAGGAATATGATCCTATCTAGTTAAATCTCCACCACCTATTTAAATCAATTTATTTTATATTTTAAATGCGATACTAACGACGTTACTTTAAAAAAAATAAGGTAACGATGTTACTATTCGCAAAATACCTGCAAAATGAATAAAAGAAACAGTATTTGGTTACTTTTTTGAGGAAAGATAATAAATAAGATATCTATGAAGGAAATTAGTGCCAAGACTCATTCTCAAGATTATAAAAAAACGTTTTTTTGTGATAAAAATATGTCTGATGACTCCAGATGATAAACTATCAAAATTCTTCAAAAAATAGTCTTTAGAAAATGAAATTATAATTTCCAAAATATAAATCCTCAGCCTAATGAACGGGTGTTCAGTGCAGCAGAAGCGGTGCTGAGAGATAAATCTTAACTCTGATAATCAATCACCAAATGGTTTAAGAAAGTAGATTATCAATAAATACATTTATAGAATAATCATAATATACAAAAAAAAATTCTCTCCAATTATTTATTTAAGTAAAGTAAACGTGACATGTTACTATTCTTGCAAATAATGAGAAGGGTAACGATGTTAATTTCTTAGAGAAATGCCGACATCTATATCGAATATTAGATAGTATTTCAATAAGCAAAACATAAAATGCAGAATATAAATATTAATCAAACTTTTGTATATCTCCACCTTTGATACATATAGCTAAATCTTTCGTCATATAACCATTTTCAATAGTATCGATACAGACATTTTCTAATGTATAACAGAAATCTAATAACTTTCTGTTTTCATCTAAACGAGATCTATGCATCAAGCCTCGAGTCCAAGCAAATATGCATGCTATAAAATTTTTTGATGTAAAAATAAATATTTTCAAATAAATTAAATATCTTCCAATAAGTAAGAAGTAAATTATTAGATTTATTAATATTATAGTTGTTCATCCCAGAAAATTTGTCAGTTGCAGCTTGCAATCTATTTAATTTCGAAAATGAATTGTCAAGTCATCTATATATTGAAAAAAGAGTTTATTAGGTGCCAATTCCTATTTTCTTATATACCTGAAGCAGACGCTTTATCTACTCATAATTGTAATATTTGTTGTATAAAACCTAAGGGATTAGTAGAGGTTGGTTGCCCAGATTGATGAGCTCTATAATGCCTTGTAACCGTTCCATGTGCCGCCTCCGTTTCCATGGTTACTATGCCAGATTTGTCAGGAGGGCAAATTAAGACGCTAGTCATCATTCCCAATGATCCGAATCCTATATGATGAATAGTTTTTAATCGATGGAAATAGGGCATATTCCCATATGGAAATAGGGCATATTCCCATATTTTAAAAAACATTATGTCTATACTAAGGGTTAAATCGATAAGGAAGATCAATAAATGGCTATTAAATATTAAATTACAGTAAATAGTGTATACAAATCAAAATGAATGCCACTATATACCGTGAATCAAATTTTCAAGTTTTTCAAATTTACAGATTCGTATTTAAAAAAGGAAAAAGTTCGATAGAAAAAATGTCAATTATAGGAAATGTTAACATTGGTGTTTTCTTTATTTTGTTGTGTCTATTTTTAACTTTATTATAATTTTTTATTAAGCGCAATAGTATGCTTATTAACATCGGCTCATTTTTTGACTTTAGATTGTAAGACTCGGGTAGAGTCGTATTATTGTTATTTTAGAGAATTATTATATATTTATTGAATTATAAGATATAAAAAGGCTGTTTTTTAGGCAGAATAGGTACTTTTTTATTTGAATTTAATAAAAATAATTATCTACTTTATTGGAGTTATTCTACAGGCAATAGGAAAGAGTTGGATCTGAAAAAGAAAATGCCTTTTGCCTGTATTTACCCAAAAAATATAAATTTTCAAGCTGATAACGAAAAAATTGAAGCATTTTTAGATTCACAATTTAATTTTGAGTTCTATGATTTAATAAAATTTAAAATTATGTTCAAAATTTTAACCTATTCGCCCTGAATGTATTTACGATAAAAAAATATTTCAAACCAATATCAAAAAAAAATACATCTAAGCATTTTTAGATTCGCTATTTAATTTTGAGTTCAACGATATAATAAAATTTAAAATTATATTTAAGATATTAGCCTTTTAGCCAAGACAAAAAGGATAACTTAAAAAAATACATATAAGCATGCTTAGATTTTCAATTTAATTCTGAGCTCAAAAATATAATAAAATTTATTATTTTTAAAATGTCAGCCTTTTAGCCCAGAATGAGTTAGACAAAAAAATAATATTTCGAACTATAACGAAAATACGACTCGCATGTTTAGATTTGCAATTTAATTAAGTTCAAAAATATATTTTGAACAGATATCGAAAAAAATTCAACTAAAAATTTGATTGGCAAGAGTTCTATAATAAAATTTAAAATTATGTTTAAGGATGTTATCGCCCGAATGTATTTATGACAAAAAAATAATATTTCGAACCGATATCGAAAAAAACACATCTAAGCATTTTTAAATTCGCAATTTAATTCTGAGTTCAGATAGAATAAAATTTAAAGTGTTAGCCTTTTCACCGTGATATTACTATCGACGACAAAAAATAATTTTTTGAACCGACGACAAAAAAAAATATATCTAAACGAATTTAAATTTGTCGTTTAATTCTTATTGCAATAATATCATTAACTTTATATTTACTTTAGATTTTGTTTTGAAAAAGAATTAAAATTAAAAAACTTAAATGGAAATATAATTTTAGAAATTTCATATAATTAAAATTATATTCATATAAAAGACAACCAAAATAAATCTTATTAAAACTTAATTTAAAAAATTAATATAATTAAATCAAATCAAACCCGCTTATTATCAAAGAATAAAAACATAATTTTTGAAATGATCTTAAAATTTCCATTTTTTTAAAATATATTATAATATTTTTTTTATTATTAAGGAACTCAAACGTTAATAAGCGTTCATTTTGATTTAAATACGACTTTTTAATATCAACAAAGCTAACATTTTTATTTAATGAATTTTGCTTTCAAAAATTGTAGTTCGGTGTTCTATGATGATATAGGACAGTATATAACGAGATTTTTTCAAAATGCATACACATAGACTGCTTAAGAAACAAAGAAAATGTGTGAACTGCCCTCCATTTTAATTTATAATTAATAAATCTAGTTATTTTAATTCTCTATATTGCTAAATCACACCACTGGCTGAAAATGATCATGTATCAAGATACCAAAATTTCCAGGCACTTCTTATACTTAAATTAAAATTTGTTTGTTTAAAATTATATAGTTATAGAATAAAAACTGTGCTTAGCATATAACCTTGAGCCAGAAAATCAGATTGTACATCTCCGTCATAGTTCTTGCAGGCCCAGACAAACCCACCAGGCGATTTGAGGGCGAAAGCGACCATATCGTCAATAAGCCGGTGCTCATAACATATACCCGCTAAGGAGTATTTTACGGCATATTTTCTATTAATTTATTTTAAGTATCACATTTATATATATAAATTTCAAATCGAAATGGAAATAAATAATCCAATATTCAGAATTAGTTTAAATTTATTTTAAAATTTTTTGTATAACCTTCAAAAGGACAATTTATCTATTTTTGCCAGCTTAAATTATATTGTAATAAAATATTAAAAATAATAGCTCTTCCCGTGATTTTTTACTTTAAAAATAATTATTTTTCAACAAAAATGCTATAAAAAATTAAATAATATATTTTTTTTTTAAATAACAGTTATTTATATATTTTAATAATCAATAATCTTTCGATAATTAAAAGTTGGTGGTATCATTTTTTAAAAAAATATTTATCAATGTATAAAAAAAATATACCCTTATAAATAATACAAGTTTAATAAAACTTTCAATTATAAAATATATTGACATCGAAATTAGCGAAAGAGCAAGCTTCAAACCGAACCTAAAGTTCATAACCAGGTTGAGTAGTCCTTTTTAAATCCGAAAAACACTCCTTTCTAACTCTTCATTTATCAGTTTATTATTAATTCGAATTGTTTGTTTATGAAAAAAATTATACCAAAATAATTTTGTCATATTTAATTCCTATATTTCATTGTGGTTTAAAATTTGATAAGCGTATGATATTGATGAGATAGTTTCGCCTGCATTAGATTTGATAATATTCTTCATAATTTTTATTCACATTTCATAGGCAACACTTAATTGCATTCAAACAAGAATGTCTGAATGCAAAATACCAAATCACTGTGCTCTAGTAAATCTAGACAGAAATCTAAAAATGGAGAATAACTGTTTATCAATATTGACAATCATTTTAACAATTATAAAAAAAATTATTAGGAAATTTTTTCAACTGCGGTACAAGAATGATTAACATTTAATTCCAATATAAACTTACAAAAACACTTATATACATAGTTTTTAATTTTTTATCTAATGATAAAAAGTAAATATGTAGTACCTTTTAGTTTAAAGATATACAAAGAAAAAATCTTTATTAACAAATAGAAAGAACGATATACTATTTCGCAAAGAAATATAAAGATGAGACCTTTATTGAATGATCAAAAGTTGATTTTGGCAACAATCAAGTTTGTATTATTGTAATTTGAGAGTATTCGCAATAATGTGACATGCAAAACAAATAAAAATCATTCCATCTTGATAAATTTTTAAATACTGCTAGGCATTGTTCGAGACAATGTTTAGTTCATTATTAGAGCTAAAATAGATGTTTCTGAATTTTCCCATATTAGTATATGTCAGAGACCTGCAGAGGTACCATTTGCACGGCCCGGCCCGGTTTTAAATTTTTTAGGCCTTGCCCGGATTTAAAAATTTAAGGCCCGGCCCGGATATTTTTTAAAAAAAAAATTTCAGGCCCGGCTTGGAATTTTTTAAAATTATATTCGACCTGGTATATACAAAAATTCACCTATGAGGTATTTTACCATATTTTTCAACGAGTTTTATCGCTTATTATTTAAAAAATGCATGTAAAAAGCTAATATTTTGAGAATATTATATTGAATTTATAAAAATTATAAAACTGTTATTTATAAAAATGGATATTTTGAGCATATACTATATTTTATATTGCATTTATAAAAATAAAACTAATATTCATAAAAATGGTAATAATATTTGTCATATACTATATTTTATATTACATTTTAAAATTATAAAACTAATATTTAATTTATAAAAATGGAAAATATTTTGAGAATATAATATATTGTATTTAATTTACTATTTAATTTATAAAATAAAAATAAATCGCTATTTAAAAAAATGCATGTATAATAAATAGTATTTTGAAAATATAATCTAATTGCACAATATTAATATAATTTATTTTATAATATAAATTTTTAACAAAAGAAGATAATTGTATTATATAATATTGTAAAAAAAAATAATGAAAAATGTTGGATTAAAAACCTTCATGACTCAAGGTAAATATAATAAATGCAATAAATATTTGACAGTTTGCAAAGTAAAAAACCAGCATGATTGGCGAAACCCTATACTCAATAAAGATATTAAAAATTCACAAATTATCATGAAGAAAGAGAAGCATATCTACCTTTTCAGGTTGAAGATTACTTCTTCTTTCTTCAAGAATTCTCCCAGTAGTGGAAAAATTCCGCTACAGCTTGCACTTAAAGCAGGAATTGCCAATTTTGCTAAAATTGGAAATTCGCTTTGATGAGCCGCCCATCACTCTAACAAATTATCCACCTTAAATGTTTTATCTATTATTTATGTAATTATAATATTCATCATCGGGTATTGAAATATTACCAGAATTACCATCGCCCCATTTATCATAAAACGATTCAGTTTGTTTAACAACAGTAGTAATTTGACTGGTCAATGGTATTTCATTTACTTCCTGAGCCTCTTGTAATTTAATATAATCTTTTATATAGTTTTCCGTCATTTTGCGATCTGTCCCTGACTACATACGTATTGCTTGAATTTGGGACAGAGAAAAAGAGAAATAAAATGATACTTGTGTAAAACAAATTTTTCAATTAAAAAATGCTTTATATTAAGTAAAATCAATTACAAACTTTAAGAAGTGATAATCCTTTATTTGATTGTTTTGGTAAAATATATTAAAAAATATATTAATAATACTTGAATATTGGGGCTTATTTAAGATATTCCTTTATTTGATTGTTTTGGTAAAATATGTTGTAAAAATTTAGATATGAATTATAAAAAAATATATTAATACTTTGAATAAATTTGCAGGAAATTAATAATTAGATCGATCTGTGGGTTGTTAGGTAGTGTTAACCATCACCCAATATTATATTAATCATAACTATAATATAATATAATCTTATAACCATTAACTCATAATGTAAAAATTTTTATAAAAAATATTAAGGCCCGGCCCGGGTTTAACAATCTTAAGCCCGGCCCGGATATATTTTAAAAAAAATTTTTTAGGCCCGGCCCGGATATGTTTAAAAAAAATTTTTTAGGCCCGGCCCGGGTATATTTAAAAAATTTAAAATACGGCCCGGCCCTGCCCGGGCTTAGGGCCGGGCCGGCAGGTCTCTGGTATATGTATTATATCCATGAATCAAATAATTTTGTTTATGTCATAACTACATATTCAACATTTTTAAAACAAATTCTTCTTATATGGCAATAAATAAAATAATTCATCTTATCTAAATAAAGTGGTTAATATTGCATTTTAAAGTAAAAAACCGGCGTATTTTTGGTTTTGGTTACAACATAATTTTTCATAAGTTTCAATGCTAAGAATCGACCGATACTGTAGAGATATCGGTATCCAAAAAATTATATCTGTGCATCTCTCCATAAAATTTATATTAAAAACATTTTTAAATAATGCAAGCAAAATAATATAAAAAGAAAAATTAACTTTTGATAAACTTGAGCGAAGATATCCTTAAATAAGCCATCATAATTCTTGAGTATAGTATTTTTTGTGCTAAGATAGAGAGGCATCTTTTTCTGTAAAGCATATTCCAATGAACTTTCGGCAAACTCGGTTATAGACTTGTATGTGTATATATTAAAATTTAATTTTAAAAAAAACTTTACATTTTTACTTTTTAAAAATTCCGCTATTTTTTTCTTTTCAACGATTTCTCATTTTGTTTTTTTTTTTAATCCTTCGATTATAAATATAATCATTATGTTTTTTTCTCACTTAGTAATTTAACTTATATTACAAGAAAAATTGGTAACTTGTCTAGTATTGAACATGGCCATAGCTACACCTCCATCTAATTCAAAATCATCCGAATTATTATTGGGCATAAATTCATGAACTAGATGTTGTATCATTTCCCCTTTTCCTTGAATAGGCTCAAATCTTATAAACAACTTTCCAGGTCCTGGAACCAAAAAATCAACGGCTTTATACTTTTTTTAAGAAAAAATTATTATTGTATTTTTGTTGAAGAGTCCTTTTAGTTTTGACTTTTTTGAAACTAAATCGTTAAGGAACCAACGCTATATGTTGTTTAATTTATTAAGATTATAACAAGCATCAAATTTCATTTAGGTGGCTAGTTGGACTACTTTTTATTTATTTGAAAATCAGAAATGTTCAGATGTTTAAATATTGTTCTAAAATTGATACAAGATAATCTGAGCTCTAGCTCGAGACTGCCAAAATTTTAACTAAAAAATATAATAGGAGAAAAGGTATTATGAATGATTGGAAAGGTCGGATGTAAGGGTAGAAGACAAGCATATATAAAGGTTAGAGGATTGGTTAGGCCCGATTTCCCTATCAAATCCTTAACAATAATGCTTTAAAAATATTAATTTCAGAAAATAATGATACCTGATCGCCAAAAGCATGCCTACCGATTATAATGGGATTTTCCCAAGTTGAAACGAGTCTAGGAATGTTTTTGCATAAGATAGGTTCTCTAAATACGGTACCGCCTAATAAATTCCTGATCGTTCCATTCGGAGATTTCCATATTTGTTTGAGACCAAATTCTAATCATTATTTTTAGAATTCAGCATAAAGTGTCAATTTCCATTCATTTAATAAATAGTGCAATCATGATCTTTCCCTTCAATTTATATTGTTTACAAAGTTTTCAATACTTTTAATATTAAAATAAAAGCAAATAAATATTTAAAATATAAATTTAGGAAGATATAATATATGTATATTTTAAACCTTTAACTCGGGCTTCATCTGGGGTTATTGTAGCACATTTAATACCAACGTTATGTTGTTTGATAGCTTTGGCGCAATCAATCGTCACTTTAAAAAAATTCAAATATGATAATAGTGAAGGTAAAAAGTCTGCTATATATCAAAACCGAAGACAGGACATATGGTCCGTCTGGTTTTTGCCAATCGGTCTTCATTAAAAAATTTTAAATGCTAAATAATTAATAAAATTTATAGTATTTTTATATTTAATAAAATCTTTCACATTTATTTTTATAAATACTAATTTAATATTTTTATTTAAAAATTATATTAATTTTTTTTTATTATTCTTATTAATAAAATTTAAAAATATCGAAATGGCTTAAATTATTTTCTTAATCTAATGACCAACTCTCTTTATTATCCTGATTCTTCTTAACCCCTTAAGATATTTTACTCTGTTATTTAAATTATAAAATGTATTATATATACGAAGACAAATTTTTATAAAGTGCTCATTTAAGGTAGGGCTTGGAACCGAAAAATAAATAAACTGCCAAAAATAAGACAAAAATGAACTTAGAAAAACCGAAAGTCAAAGGGAAATACTTAGATCTAAAAAGATTAATATAAGTAAAATTGAGATAATTAAACCTTTTATAATCTAGGTTGATAATAAGTTAAACATGTTTATTTTTAAATTTGAGTATTATTATATTTATTTTAGGCGTCAAAAAGCCCAAATGTATGATCTATATTAAAATATTTATTATAATTGGTATATCTATCTATAGAAAATTATAAACTTAAATATCATAAAATATAAACCATATTAGAGTAAAAATAGACACTAGTCAAAAAGAATAGAGTGCTAAAATATTCGAAGGAAACAGGAAACAACTGAAACTGAATAAGAAAATTAAATATTTTATTAAAAAATTCAATTATTTTAAATTTAATGAAATTCTATCTTTTTAAATGAATTGAATGAACTTAAAAAGAATGCGATCGTCAAAAAAATGATGAAGAGACAGAAAGTGTTATCTAAAGTTAAAGTGACGATTAAAGATGGACTTTTAATTTTTATTTTAAATTTTTTTTTTTATAAAAGCTCAAATTTATAAAAATTATTTCGATAACATATCAAAAATATAGAACAATTTAAAAAAACTTTGTTTATCAGTGGTTCTCTTCGACTTGAACCTCGGAAAGATATTTTATTTTAAAATGATTTTATAAATATTCTTTTCAGTCAAAAGCTGAGGTATTCAAAAATGTAATGTAATTTATTTTTTTTAAAAAACGATTTTTTTGATTTAAATTGTGATTAAAAACAAATAATATTTGATAAACCTCAAATTTATTATATAATAATATATGAATAAATTATCAATAAAAAGCTGGCCAAAATATAATTATGCATAAAAATTGGGCTAGTGAATATTTGTTCTTTTTATTTAATTAAGGCCCCAATTTGTTGTTTTAAAATTATTTCAACTAATTCAGCAATATACAACTTTATATTTTAAAATATTCTAATAACAACTAATGGAGCCAAGAAAGGGAAGAACATTTTAAATTGCTGTTAATCCAGATACAAATATCTTATTCATTTTGGTAAAATTCCATACAAGGTAGTTGTACAGGAAAATTTGATTAAGGGCAAAAATATTATAAGTATAGTAACACAATTGTTTACAATGTATCATCAACTTCTATAGGATTTTATTCGAATGAACCTTAAGAATCGTTTGGGAACCGAAATAGCCGGAAACTAGTTTTCCTAGTTATAAACATAAATCCAAACCACAATAAATATTGTTTGTAATTTTCTTTTATTTAAATCTCAATTGATGAAAAATAATGGCCTGTTCTTTATTATTACAAAGGTCTGTGCTGATATTAAAATAAAACCCCGATCCGATATTTTACTTGTATTTTGGTTATCTTATATATAATTTCATGAAAATAATAATAAAAGGAACCAAAATTCAATTTATTTGTAATGTTTAAAAAAAATCGAATTATTTAAAAAATAAAGCAGCTAAAAAAAATTTTAATTAAATTATATGCAACAAGAAAAGGATTCCGCTAATGTTAAATGTCTTGTTTAAGCGGATTTTAAAAAGGGGCAATTCAAGATTTCAGCCAAAAGTAAATTACCTAAGCTTGGAGATTTTGTCCATAGATGACAGCAAGGTTGGAAATCTACTGGCGAAATTTCGAAGCTTAAAACATTATATTTAACCTATACTTGATTATACCGTTTTTAAAAATCGTGTAAATTGAGTAATTAAATAATACATTCAACCATAAAAATTTCCTATAATAACTGGATGCTTAACTTTCGAACCAAAAAAATACACCTAATAATAAAGTTAGTTGTTTTTTGAATAGAAAATACAATATAAATTTTTTATAACATTGGTATGAAGATATATGCAAATAAAAACAATCTAAATATCGTCGGTTTTGTAGTAATATTGATCAGATTGGTGAAAATTTTATGGATGGGCATAGTTCTATAATTAAAATTTTCAATTACATATGATATAAGTCAAAATTTAAAATAGAAAATAAAATGAGTCAATTTTTTAAAATCACCTGGATTCCAAATATATTTAAAAAAACGCTTGGTTGGCCTAAAAAAAGGTTTTTTACAATAAGGTTGATCATTTATAGCATCCATTTAATATTAAAATTTTCATTTTCCTTTGAAGCAATTAACAAAATACAGTTAATGTTATTTAAAATAACGAAATTTTCAGGCCTGAAAAGGTTATTCCATGTCAAATCAAACACCTCACAGCCGATCCTTTTCAATTACCTTCAAAAATATGTGTTAGCTCTGTGGCAATTATATTACCTGAGGTATAGAGATTAAAAGTATGAAAATCGGCTTTTTTACCCTTTAGATTTTAATTAAAAACTAAATTAGTTTAAATATTGAATCCAATATTATTAATAACAAGTCAATAATTATGAGGAAACATCAAAAAATTTTTTTAATATGTGTCATTTTTAATACAGTATTATATCAGATCATTAAAACATAATATGCAACCTTGATCATTTGTCGCATCTCGGTTCATTATGCTCAGGTCAAATGTTATTAACTCCAAATCAATGAACGGGAAAATCAACATTTCTTTTATCATTTCCCATATTATTCTTTATATTAAAATTATAAAATATTTATAATAAATATATAAAAATTTATGAATTTTAAAAAAAATAAATAGGACTGTGCCGCTATTAAATATCAAATCGGCACCAATATTTAGCGTTTTCCAAAAATATTGGATCGGGCTGATACCTGTAAAAACCCGATCCGATCTTTTTAATTTCCTTTTGTTATTTTATGTATATTTATTTACATTAATTATATTTTCTAAATAATTTTTTTTAAACACTACAAATGCACAACACCCCTTAAATTTTATTTATTTTTTTGAATAGATTTATAGTATTTTAAAAGTTTTTTTTATAAAAATAGAAAGGAACACCCAACACCCAACGTTTAATTTATTTTATTTTTTAAAATATGGTATCTGAATTATGAAAATATTTAACAAAAGACAAAGATAATTTTGCAAAATGCATTATCTGCAGAATTTTAATTTCACGAATAATGAAAAATTCATTTAATACTACCAATATCCATAAACTTTTTTAAATTATTGTAGAAATAAAAAATTTTAATTAAATGCATAATTCGATTTTTTGCATAAAAAATAATGATTTCTTAATTACATATGGTTCAAAGGGAGGTGGTGAAAAATCAATTTAAATATTGGATCAGTTTTGAGCCAATATTGGATGGGATTGGTGAAAAATATGTAGATTGGCATAGCCCTAATAAAAGATCATTTAAATCATCAAAACTATATAAAATAGCAGTATTCTTAGCAAAAAATCAATCTTAACCCATAGGTTACCAAGAAAATTAATAAACAGCCCTTACCTAAAATATAAAGAATATTAAAATTTCATTTTTCAAATATCATATAGTATATCTATAATATTGTGAGACAATTCTCACAAATGTAACTTAATATAAAACAAATGTTAACATTGAATATATTTATTATTACAATTTAATTTTATTACATTATCTTTATGATTTGTAAGAAAATATATATTATATAAGAATATGGTGTATTTATATCATATTATAAAATATATCAAATGATCAGGTTCAGGTTAGTCTTGTCACTATAACAGCCTACCATTTGATGCATCATATAATCAGCTTTTGCTTAGTATTAGGAGAATAACTTCTGGTTTATTTGTAGCATTGTCAATGTTTGCCATGCATTCTGCTAATTATTTGCAATTTTTTCTTAATTGGGTGAAAACATCTTAAATGTTACATTGTTTTGAAAACCAAATAAAGTTTAAATGATTTTTACTTTATTGAAATAGTGAATTCCTTTGTTAATTCTCTCCTATTTCTTTTAATAGAATTTTTTGAATGTTATCACAATAGTACAAAATAACTATTCTTTTAATTTAAATTTGAGAAACATTCATTGTTATTGTACCTTTGCTAAATTTTTCACACTAAACTTTATATGAATCCATTTTGTAATCAAAAATTTTCCTTAAAAAATTTCATAAGAGAATTTATAATTATGAAATTTTACCGAACAATCAATTTAACCCTGCTGGTAAAAGATGCTATTTTTTAATTTTGGCATTGTTCCATTAGGATTTTGCATAAATTTTTAATTACTCCTTACAAGTCATAAAATATCATTTAATATATAGATATTTTTATTATTAAAACATAATGAAATAAGGATCTAAGATATTATAGGTAATCCAATGGGTGAGACTCCCAGGTTAATAATATAACTAATTTAATTAAATTGAAATGAGATAACTAAATATGACATTTTATTAACCTTGTCATTTCATCACCAAGAGCTTCAACGACTTTTCCACCTAAAATTATAAAGATATATCATAAAAAAGAAAATAATTTGAAACCTTTTATTTTGTGAACCATTTCGTGGCCAAATAGTTAGAAAATAAAAGTAAATTACTGACATCTGTCAATTGAGAGCTCAATTTTAAAAAAAAAATAAAATTCATCACCGACTTAATTATTTTACATAATTTTACCATTTTTTTTTCTGCTTTTAGAGTTCATATTCATAACAATATAAAACAAATAAACTAATCCCTCTTATAGAAAATAACAATTTTTATATAAATCCCTTTTAAATAATAATATATTACAAGAGTGGGCAAAAAAATCAAAAAATATTAATCACAAAATAAAAATGACTTTGCTTATCATAAAAAAATGACTCCACACTTAACATAAAAAACGATACACATAACAATACTGTTCATATTAAAACTAATCATTGATATTTATTTGTTATATTTATAATGTGCAATTAACAAAAATGAAGGTTTTATGTATGTGTTTTTTATTTTAATGAAATAAAAAAAAATTCTTCCCTTTACATAATTCGAATGTAGGCTTGAATACAAAAGTTTTCAAACCCGTTTTGAGAGGTTTAAACCAAAGGGTAATTTTTATTTTTGAACCGAACCTGAACCTTGAACCATTATTTTTATCCGAACCTGAATCGAATCGATATTCGTTTCGGTTTGGATCCCTGGTTTTGATTGATATATTTTTATACATAATTTTTTAATTTATTATTTAAATAGAATTTATTTCGCTTTTAAATAATAAATGCAATAATCTTATAATAATTTGCACATTTGAGATAAAACAGCTGTTAGGTCAAATGCTACATAAAATCAGACCACAATATAACACTTATCAATCCTGAAATTGAAAATTAATCATGGGAATAATCCTTGAGTTGATACAAATTTTATCAAATATGATAAAACAATTATACACCATTTAGAAAATGTTATTTTCATATGCAAAAGTAGAAAAGTAAAGCTGGAACTAAATTGAAATCCAAGGGAAGAAGTTCTCTAATAATTTTATGTCAAGGCGTTAATAAGTTATTAATGCTTTTTTAAATAAAATTAGGAATTTAATATTAAAGAAGGAGGTAAATGGAAAACAATTAGTTTGAAATATATAGTACTAAACAGCATGACGAAAATAATTTATCTGGCTAAATGAGACTACTGTCAATTAATAACGGTTAAGCGGCTCTTTCCAACTAAAAATTTGAAGATTCAAGCTGATAAATTATCAGCTTGGAAAATAATTGAAGATATCAAGTCAAGTCTTCTGTATCTTTTATAACCTTCACTTCCTAGGGCTACAAATTTAAATAAAAATATTCCTGATTTAAAGTTGCTAGTTAACATCTGGTTACAAAAATATTGTGATTGTATGAATAATTGGATGCTATAATTATTTTTTGTCTGGAGTATATATATTTATCTATACATTGGTTTAAGATAGTTTTTTTATATAAATTTGAATAATTATTGTATAATAAAATTTTAAATTTAAATTTGAATAATGAGTATCAGTCGATATTTATTATGCAATTTATAATTTTCTATCCAACGATATTTATTATGCAATATATAAATTTTGTATAAATAGACAAATATTTGATAATTATCATTTATAATTTTTTTTTAAAGAGATTATAAAATAATTTTTGTAGAAATATTCATTATTCATTTTTTTTGGTTTTATTTTAATATAATAATGATTATTAAATTTATTGAAATCCTCAGCCTCCTAAACTATATGAAAAATGGTGTCGGAGTGAGGAAAATAAAATTTATACCAGGGACCTGAAGATTTCATTAATGATATTATAAAGTAAAAAACAATATTTATATATAATATATATCAGAGACCCTGAAATTTTTTTTTAAAAATACCCGGGCCGGGCCTGAAATTTTTTTTTTAAATACCCGGGTCGGACCGTAAATTTAAAAAAAAAAATTTATACAACATGAATTATATATTCAACAATTAGATATGGTTATAATGATTATATATAGTTATGATTAAAATAATGTTGTGTGAAAGTTAACACTAGCCAACACTAATAGTATCTATTACATAAAATAATTATAGTTTTCCTGCCATGGAATAGATACGCAAAGGATAATAGGTAATAAATACATTATTATATAATATATTTATATTTTTTATTAATTAAAGTATCAGTTTTAATTTTTTATAATACAATTAATATAGTAAATTCTCAAAATATTATTAACACAAATTTTTTATAGTATCAATTTGTAATATACTAAATATCTGTTTAGAATATATATAAAAATGTAATATGTACTGTTGTTATACGGCTCGTTTTGAGCCGATTTTTAGAAACGGCTAACACAGTAGTTTATCCAGAAAAATATTACGCAAGCCTGAAATTTTTTTTCATAATTATAGGATATAGTTAAGCCCATGGATTATATCAGTGAAATGTCCTTTATCAAGAATAGAGCAATTATTGGCTAATCTAAAAGTAACGACATTTTTTTCTAAGATATATTTTTCTAATGCTTATTTATACATTAAGGTGATCGAGAATACAAGTAAAATTTTAACAATTACAACACATAGAGGGTTGTTTACATTCTGCCGATTACTGTTTATATTGAAGCCCCAATATTTCGATGGCTGCTTTATTCCAAGGTTTAAGTGTAATCATGTATTATTTAGACTATGTTTTGATATCAGGTAGAACAGAACAGGAACATAATATGAGATTAATTAAAGTTTTAAACATAATTTTAGAAAATGGTTTGAGAGCTAATATAAAAAAGTATTTTTGGAGTAAAGGAAATAACTTATTTAGGACATATAATAAAAGGAAATAAAATTTCTTCGATTGCTAAGAATATAGATAAGATTGTGAACATAAGAGCACCTAATAATAAAACAGAATTACAAGCGGTTTTAGGAGCTGCTAATTATTGTCAACGATTTATACAGAGTTTTGTAGAGATAGCTACAGTTGTATAAGTTATCGAAAAAAAATGTAAATTTAAATGAGGAATAATAGATGTTAGTTAAACCGATTCTGAATTGTTTTAATGAGACATTAGATATTATATTAGCGGTGGATGCATTTAAAGAAGTTATAGGAGGAGCTTTATTACAAATGGTTGTAAATGTAGAGAAGCCGATTTTATTTTTGTCCAGACAATTTATCAGTACTGAAAAAAATTACTAGATAATAGAAAAGAAACTTTAGCAGTCAAATTTGGTTTGACTAAGTGTAGAGAGTATTTATTAGGCCGTTAGTTTTTATTACATACGGATCACAAACCGTTAGTTGATTTGTTCAAAAAAGACAATAAAGAATTGATGATTTCACTGAGGTTGAAAATGGTTAATATTGGTTGGTAATTTCGATTTTGAAATAAGATTCAGAGCGGGTAAACTAAATTGTTTACCAGATATATTATCGAGATTGTTTGACAGAAAAAGTGAAAACAAAAATATAGAGCCCATAATTAATAGTTTAGAATATATTAAAGAGGAAGGTGAATTAAATATTGATATTATAAGAGCTTTCAAGATAGATCCAAGGGAAAAGCCGATAACTTTTTAGCTAGTATATAAGGTATACAAGATGATGAATTAATGAAAATTAGAGCTTGTTTGAAACAAGATATAGAATGGAAAAGTGAAGACAAAGCGTTTAAAAACATAAAGAGTAAGACAATTGTTTAATGAGATATGGCTTAGTGATACCGAATATATTAAGAATTTTTTTTTTAGCAGCGGTATATACGGGACATCAAGGCATAGAAAGAAGAATAAAGCATGAGAATATATTTGGTGGCTCAAAATTATTAGTGAGAAGGAAGAAGTAGTTAAGAGTTGTGAGTGATACATGTATTATGTGTAATGTACAATCAAAAAATAAGGAAGATAAATTGTCAGAGTTGAACATTCCATATGATAGTATACACGTAGATTTTTTAGAATATGAAAAGAAAAAATATTTTATCATGGAAGATGCTGGTTCAATATGGATAAATTTTCAAGTGTCAAGTTTGTCGACAAAAGTAGCTTTCGATAAGGTAAAAGATTTTTTAGGTAAATATTGGTTAATGAAAATGTTAGTATCAGATTCCAGCGTTCAAAGGCAAAGCATTTGGCAAGTTTTGTGATAGATGAAAAATTGAATATTTATTTTCGTTACCACATTACCCAAGAAGTAATCGGCGAGCTGAACGAATGTTAGCTATAGTTAAAAGTTGATTAAAAAAATAAAAATATGGAGAAGGAAAATGGTGGTTATCGTTATTAGTATATAAAAACAATAAGACAATCGAAGGAAATTTGCCAGCAGAGAGGTTTTTAGGTAGGAAAACAAGAACTGAATTGGATTTTTTGAAAGAAGAAATAAAGCAAAAAAAGATTATAGGTTGTGAAAAATTTTAAATAGGAAGTTTAGTTTGGATACTGCTGTTTGATGGTCCAATTAAATAAGGGAAGGGTGTAGAAAGGAAAAATATAGGAAATAATTGAAGGACAAGCAGGAACTGGTCCAGACATATTAAACAGTTAAGACCTAGATGTATAGGGCAAGAATAATAATGAGTTTGCAAATTGATGATAAATATAATTGATTTGTTTTTTTGTAACAAGTGAGAATTATGAGAATCATAATTTGATGTGTTTGAAATTTGATGATAGAAATAATTGATTTGTTTTTTAACAAGTGATATAGAATTATGAAAACCATAAGGGTATGTTGGGAAAATTTATGATAGACATTATGGATTTGTAACAAATTGTGTCAGAGTTATGAGAATCATAATTTTATGTAAATTAAAGTTGATGATAGTCATAATTAACTGTGCTATAATTATGAGAATCATAAATTTTGACGATGATAAGTATGTTTGATAACAAGTGGTGTTAGAATTATGAGAGTCATAATGTTTTTGATGTTTAAATGTAATATTATAAAATTTGGGAAGTTAGAAATAGAGTAAAGAGAATAAACTGATTCTTTTGTAGATCACTTCATATTTTCGAGTAGGCAACAAAATCAAAATAGAGATCCGTAAAGTAGATGGATCGGCTGAGTCAAGAAAATGGATGAATGCCATCAGGGAAGAAGCACAGCAG